ACTCGTGTACTTTAGGCTGTTGCTGCACTCACAGATCTGCTGGCTCAGTTCAATGAGCTCCATCTCTGTGGGCATGTATCCCATAGTCCTCATACACTCGCCCAGGTCTTTGTGACTGATGTAGCCATCTTTATTCTTATCAAACTCCACAAATGCCTCACGGAGCTCTGATAAGACACACACACACGCAAAACACGTGTTATTACTGGTAAGGCGGGTATCATATCAAATGCATGTACAGCTAAAAAAAAGCGGATAAATCAACTCACCTTCGATCTCCTCTGGCCGCAGCTCTCTGTCCTGCCGTGGGGAAAGTTTTCACATATTAGCTTCATGTTTCACACAGTTATAGATTTCCCCTCACCTTGCAAACATTCATCCTGAAAATATTCACAATGTTTGTTTGGCAATAAGACAATAAAAAGTAGACGCAGGCATTAAGGAGCACAATCTAAGCACACAGACATACAGCTTGTGTCACTTAACACGTGATGCTAGACAGAGCACAGATGAAAAACAGAAGCACCAAGCGAAACAAAACAGAAAAGATGAATAATGAGAGGAAATGTTAAATATTTTTTGTTATGTATAATTAGCGTCTTGACGTCTGGCCAATGTTTTTGGACAAAGATTCATTTTTTGAGAACTATGAATCACAATGATATTTATGTTCTTTTAACTCCAGGGTGTTGCACATCAATGAAATGCTGAAAATGATCCCTAAGCTGCATTAGATAGAAAGCTCCAGGGCATCTACATGGATTAAACCGTATATCTGATTATTGTATACAGGGATTCCTGCACCATAGATTACAGTGAGTACCCAGATTACTTTTTGGAGGATGCCAGGCTGAAAACATCTAGAGACTAGGACATGTCAGAGGTTTAGTTTTAGGAACATGTCCACTGTCCGGATGTATGTGTCCGTACACTAAATATATACATTACTCAAGCTTGTGTGTGTAACCCGAATTATTATTTGATTGTATTTGTTTTGATCAAATTCTCATTTTCACACAGTAAAAGAAATCCTGACAATAAAAGTAGAGCAAAGCAACGTTGTGGCTAGCATTCCTTCCAGCAAGAATCCCCAAGCGTTCCCAAAAGTGTTGCACTTCCACTTTGATGTGAAGTTTTCTATTCCAGTTGCCCCTGTTTGGGCAGTCTATTATTTCTCCTAATCCAATTAAAAAAACATCCACTAAAAAGGTTTAGACCATTATTTTATTTTATTTTTGTCTTCACCTATATGAAGTGAAGCAAAGGCCACAGGTCATCAGTGTGATTGTTTCACAGTTCACACAAAGGCCTGCATCCTTTCTTTACCAAGGGCACGTACAAGCTCCACAAGGCCAGTCAATGATTTTCCAATGATCTCTCAGTGATTGACCCCTTTAAGCTTGCCCGTTGCCTGGGGATTTTAATTGTCTGACCCGAGCCACTAATGCAGGGGGGGATGACACAGCTGGTAAAGAGCAGGAGGGTCAGCCACGATGTGGGGATGAAAATGAATCGACACAAGTGGAAAAAGTTGCACTTTGGCTGTGGTAGGACACAGTGTGCACACTTCTGTGACTTCCTGTTACATACGAGCGTCCTAGCAAAGCCCTGTTTAAGGAAGATGCAGGCCGGGCCCACGATGTTGTGCAGCATGTTGCAGTTCTTCACCAGCGCACCGAGGGACTCCTTGAACGGTTTATCCTCTACATCCAAATCCTCATCTCCCTCCAGCTGCTGGCTCATTGCCCTCACCTTACGATGGAAGCGCCAGTGCATCACCCGCTTTGGAAGCAGATCAGGGTGTTAAACCACCAAACGTACTGTCCGTCACACCAAATGTGCGACTGATCAAGCAAGTCAATATCTTTTCAGAGGCAAAGTAAGACCCCTGCTTTTCTACAGTCAAACGTTGGAAAGGCAATAAGCCAGAACTATAGGATAGATACAGCTGCTCATTATTGCAGGAGGCCCTCATCAGCCTCAGTCCTCACTGTGAGAAACCAGTTTGATTTGAAAATAATCTATAAGTCCCAATCCTGCTGCTGCAGCTTCAAGCTGCTGACACTAGCTGATGTGAGTTTGCTAATTCTCCAGTGTAAAGACTGACAGCTTAACTACACGTCAGTAAGTAACACGGCTACAATAGTAGGAAGCAGTGAACATTACAAGTAACAGTAAAAAAAAGCTAAATAAATAAATATGGCAATCATGCATCTAAAATCACTATTAAAATAAATGCAAGCATTGATAAGCTCATCATATATATATATATATATATATGGATTTTGTATTTATTTATCCTTTAAAATGCATAAATAATCTTGAAAAAAGTATGACAAATTAATTTTAATTATTAAATGGGGGATAATTTAAAAAATGAGGAATAAATGAACAAAAACTTATTTTTTAAAACAAGTGTGGACAGTAAATAAAAAGGACAAATAAATACAGATCCAAATACAAAGAATATACATTTTTGTAAAATTAATTTATATGTTTTTAAATTTTAATCTAGTCTTACTTTAATCTATTATTTTGATCTCTTTAATTACATATTTTTTGCATGTTTCAATTTTCTGCACACAAACAGTGTGTCCTTAAATAGCACTTTAAGTGATGCAGTCTGTATACTAAGCTTTCCTGAAACTACCATAAAAGGAAACAGTTTCATTGGTGGAAAAAAAAGGAAAGCGTTAGAGTTTCAACAATATATTTTTTCCTGTTTTCTAAATTTACATGCAATCATTAAAATGATACAGTGAGACAACATCCAAAGAAAGCTGCGGTTGTCACGGAGGCAAAAAGCTTCAGTCAGCGAGTGCAAGCAAGAGGATTAAGCTGCAGTGAGTTCGAATCTAACAAAGAGGAGATAAAGTACACTTACCTTCTTCATGTTATCATTCAGAGATGGTTTGTTCCCCATTACCAGACCTCCCCTGTCACTTTTCTATGTTCCTATTTCCCTGCGCTCTTCTTCTGTGGACTTCTAAAGTCAAGTTCAAGCTCACAAGCTAAAAAATCCCTCTGAATTTCCCATTCTGGTTAATAGTCGTCATATTGGACAAAACAGAGATGGAAAAAGAGGAACAGCCCTCATCCATTCATGGTCATCTCCACTGACCCAAACCAAACTGAACACGTTACCAAATGATCTTCCTAAAACAAAAACAAACTGGATGACTGAGCAGAAGTGGAGCGCACTGGACACAGCTCGCTTATGTGTCACTCCACAGAAACAGCATCACTCTCGGCTCTTCACGCGGTGCTTTTAATCCCCCCTCATTCCTCTCTGTCACTCGGTCTTCCCTCCCCCCTTTCTCTCTCTCTGTCTCATGTCAACATGTTGCACGAGCATTCAAATGACTTCATCTACAGTGTGAAGAGTTTTAAAGGGAGAATTAAGAGGACACGAACGGAGCGGGATTAATCCATGCCCTTTCAGATTAAAGAGGACAGGGTGATAGAGAGAGAAAAAAAGGGAAGAGAATACATTAAAGACATTCAAAGGAAGAAACGGAAACAGACATACCTTTCTCATGTGGATAAACAAGAATCTAAATATTTTAACTTGGCCTGGAAATAGAGCATGCACTATTTGAAACCATAAATGTTAAAAACAAGATATAAAACAAATTCTTGGCTAAAGATGAATATCAGAGGTGAAGAACACCAGAGGGTTTTATTACTTTAGATGTCTTAAGGCTTGGACTTTTTGTGGATTATATATCACTGCATGTGTGCACTATGTGGTATAAAAGAACACATTATGTAAAATGAATGTAAATATGATGATGTTTGTCACATCAGGTCGACCTCTTGTTGCCAGTAGGAGCGCCATAGCTGTTACCTAATATCAACGTCAGGCTGGGACAAACTGGACAGTGTATGCTCACTGGCCTCTTTATTAGGCACACCGTTTCAGCTTCTCATTAACACAATATTTAATCAGCCAATCACATGGCATCAACTCAATAGGTTTAGGCATGCAGAGATGGTCGAGGCGACCTGATGAAATTCAAACTGAGCATTGGAATGAGGAAGAAAGGTGATGTTAGTGACTTGGAATGTGGTATGGTTGTTGGTGCTGACGTATTGGGATTTTTGGATTTTCCCACACAACCATTTCTAGAGTTTACAGAGAATGATCCAAGAAAGAGAAAATATCCAGTGAGTTCAGTGCTCTGGGGCAAATTGCCTTGTTGATGTAATACCCACTCGTCATTTCTTGAATGTGGCAGAGTTCACTATACTTAAATGACCTCCGTCACCGGATAACACAATGTATGTCAAACATGTGGCATTCAACACATGCAATAAATGCAAAAGGTGCTTCTATATGATGTTCTTCTTTTGGCTTCTCCCTTTAGGCATCACCACAGTGGATCATCTGCCTCCATCTCACTCTGTCCCTAGCATCCTCCTCTATCTCACCAACCCTCTGCATGTCCTCTGCATTTTATTTACAACAATAAAATAATCTTTATTTATTACATTTGTTGTTATTTATTATTATTTTATATTTATGATTTATTTATGATGTTTTAGAGTGTGATCCCCCTTCTATCAGTGGTCATTTGTACATGTAGCATGAGGGCTAATGCAAAACATAACATGTACGTTTTCATTGCTTTGTCATGTATGTTTAAAACATGTCCAAGCTATTAAGGGTCCCTGTGACACTGAGTTCATGGGCCCCAAAGATCACAAAAATGGGTACAAAGTGTACAAAGTGTACCTCAGTTTTTCTTTTGCTAAAGTAACAAAAGAAAAACTGAGTGTTTGCGTTTTTGAAAAATATAAGAAGTTGACTTAGCTGTGATTTGTGAAGTATTTTCCAACAAGTATTAGATGTGTTTTTCAATTATGTGGTAATTAAATTAGAAACCAATGGAAAAATACAACAAGTGAGCTGTAATGCTTCACAAAATGACAGCTTATGCAACTCACAGTGAGACCCTGGTGGCGTTCAAGTGCGTCAGCTCACGTCGAACTGAAAAGCACAATGAACTTCAATTTGAACTTCAGCTCTTACATCCATGGACTACTTTGGCTGAGCTGTCAGTTATAATGGCATAAAGTTAAAATCTCAAGTGGAGGTTATGAGAGCAATGCTAAGTGGTCATCTGAGCTTTTACAAAGCATCTGCCGGCAAATCTCTCCAAAAGCAGATTTGGCATGCTGCTTACTACAGTGCATCCATACGGACGGCACAGCTCGTGTGTGTGTGCTTCTGTGTGTGTCACTCATCTTTCTGTTTAGTCACATTGTGGGGACTCTTTTAATTTTAGATTTTAGGGTGACGACTAAGGATCAGGAAAAAGAGATTCATAGGGTGTGTGTGTGTGTGTGTGTGTGTGTGTGTGTGTGTGTGTGTAAAACACTGCAGGAGGTAGATTTAACTCATCCAGTTTTGGCTCTTGCTGTTCATTCTCCAAATTTGTCTCTTTTGTACTTTTCCGTACTAAATCATACACCAAGTTAGCAGTTTATTATTAGCTATTAGTTGCCCTAATTGATACATACAGTGTGGGGTGGACAAAATTATAGAAACAGCAGTGGATACATCTACAAGCGTACAGTTGAATGAAATACTACTCTCAGTCAGCTACAAGAAAACATGAACATAGAACACTAGAGCACAATCAGTGTGTGCAGAGAGAGTTCTTAAACTCATTAGCTAAAACTAATGACAACTCTGCATGCATGCGTTGTCTATTGCAATAAGCTCCAGTGACCACTAGAGGCCACCTTAGGACCGGTCTAACATCAGTATCACCTGCCAGCTGCAGCAGTGGATGTCTGGGAGAGTACCAACTTTTTATTTGTTTGTTTATTTTTTAGGAGATACTTTAGGCAGATTAAGCAGTCATATATTAGAAATGGAAATCTAGATTTCTAGTTTTCGTTTTTTTCTGCAATAAGACTCTTATTGTGATTGATAAACACGGAATGCCAACACTGGAATTAACGAGTTTGCAGCTTAAGAACGCTTTTGTGGCATGAAGATAGATCACTTCTCTCAAAGAGCTTTCATGTGATTTGATAGAAACAGATTATTTTATTTTACAAAGGTACATGAGTGAGTCACTACAGGAGATGTTTGGGATGTAAAGCTTTTCATCAAAGTGGTGGTCACATGCAAACTGTTTAACACAGTTGTGTGTTTTATACACGTTTCTGTGCAGTGGTTCATATAATATATAATATATCTTAAAAAAAACACACCAGTTGTTCTGGGTTCTACAGGGAAAAAAACAACAAAAAAGGGAGTTTTTCTTCCCACTTTAGCTAAGTGTTTGCTTAAAGGAGGTTGTCTGATTGTTGTTGTTTTTTTTTAATCGATTATAGGGTCTTTTCCTTTATAATATAATGCACCTTTAGGTAGTTGTTGTTGTGATTTGGCTCCTTAATAAGTCAAAATAATAAAATGTGACAAAAATATTAGACGTCATTTATTTTTTAATTGAAAGATCCAGTTTTACACATCTGTGAGGACATGTGGACAGTCGGTATCAGAAGTCTGATAAACACATATCATGTTCTTCATTTACCTCATTCAACTGTGCAAAGATCTACTGAGTTTTAATTAAATAAATATGCAGAAATATTCAAACTTTTAAAGGGTTCACTAACTTTCAAGCACTGCTGCAACTCCTCTAACTGGAGCCCAAGCATCACTTTATAGTGCAGATGTGCTGTGATTTTTCTTGCAAAGCTTTCAGTGCAAGACTTTCTGTATTTTTGATTTGTACCTACAAATCAAAATTAATTTGCAATGAATGACTCAATTAATAATTAACTGTCATTTCTAAGTTTTACATTTTTAGCTGTCTGAGATGGAAAACATATTTCAGAAAGTACCAACCTTGTACAGACTATTAGTATTAGTACAAATTAGTACAAACCTTGAGTAGAGTATATACAATTCAACCTTCAAACTTACATACATTCATTTAATAGATAAATATGAGTATCAGCTTTTCTGCACATAATATTAGCAGATTAATCACTTCTTTCTGTGAGCTCCAGCATGATTCACTCTGTTGGCTGCGCATTGAAACAAAACTTAACACCAGTAATTGCAACTGAAGACACCATTAAATCTGATTAACTACCAGGTTGGGTCTCTCTTACTGATGGTTTTAATTAATCACGTAAATGAGATGGTCTTGAGAAGTGGGTGCATACACACACACACACACACACACACACACACACACACACACACACACACACACACACACTGTTCCTGGGTCCTGAATACTCTTTAGTTGCTCTTCTCAGGACATCAGCGCTCAGCGACTGTCATGCTTGCAGTCTGTAGTTAATTTGAATGCACACACACTTTTAACTTAACACACCGTGCATATGTGCGTGTGTGCTGTGTGTATGATAGAGATGTGCCATACTCAGGTAACGTGACTCTGTCTTTTGTTTTGGACTCAACATACTCTTGATCTCTGATGTGAGTGTGATCTGGTGTCAGGTGTACATCAGCAGGTTTCCAGAAATGAGAGCTGTCGAGACACCGGGAAACACTAGAAGAGACAGAACAGACAGAAAGTGAAGAAAGGAGGGAAGGAAGAATGGATAGAAGGAAGGAAGGGATGAAAAAAGGAAGGAAGGAAGTATAGTTGTAGAGCTCCCTTAAGACTTAAGACTGTCTAAAATAGAGGCCAGTGCAGAAGTCTATTAAGCCTGCCTCATTTCTAATGGCCAGCAGAGGGAGACTGCTTTGGTTCCAAAATGAAGTCAACAGCATTGTAAGTTTAGACGATGAAACCTGCAGCTCGCTTGGTCTGTGCCCTCAGTGAAAACTTTCTGATGAGTTTATCATCTCACTTGGAAAGTTCAAGTGCATGATGTTTCTTATTAGAGCCAAAACATCAATGTCAATAAAGCGGTGTGTGCTCGTTGTCACAGAATGCCGTGTCCCTTCGTTTGTGATTCACCCTTCCCATGTGGCGGCTAGCTTTAAAAAAAGCTGACAGGATGATAATGATGAAGTCAAAGTTTCAAAAATGTGACTTCACTAACTATTACTATGGTGTAACCATCTTTTATATACAATTCATGCTTCAGACGCATTCATAGTGCAGGAAATGTTTGGTTTAAAGTGAGGATGCTGCACCGTGTGCACATGGTGCCCACTCGCTCACATGAAATCATCGGACTGTCACCTGCTTTGTTCTCACATGGGCTGGATTACATCACATGAACTTCATACTAGAACGCCGGCAGGTTAAACGTCAGTTAACGTTCAATTTGTGCTGCGCTGCATGCAGAGCAACTTTCTGCAACCATTTACATATTTTAGGCATGCTTTTATAAGCAGATGCTTTCATGTATTGTTATCAAATTCATGTTGAACATATCGTCTTGTTGATGGATAGTTGTTATTCAGTTAGTGAGGGGGAAATTACTCTTACTTGGGGTTTGTTCACATAATTCATTTAGAAATTCAGTTTCTGACCAAGATCACATTCATGTGACCAAGGGCCCGATGGTGCACTCACTCACAGCTCTTAAAGTTGCTCCTTCAACACTGGTGTTAAAATTTCAGGTTATTTTATGTAAGCAAGTGTGATCTGAGGCTATATTACATATTGTTGCACTTGAGTACTCAAGCTTCTCTTCTCTCCGACTTTGCTGGCTGCTTTCTCCCACTCACTTGCTGCTCTCTCTTAATTTGGATCACTTGCATCACCACTGACATCACATTTCTTTTTATTTTTACATTGCTTTCCTGTTTCTAACCTCAGCCCCACTCATCGTCACCCTCCTCAGAGTTTGCTGACGCGATCAGGTGGACATGACTCTTTCTACATGTCAAGAAAAAAAGAAAATACTGACTGACTCACAAGCCATGCTTGAAATCAGCAGCAGGAAGCGGGTAGGGATTTAACTTCGGTGTAATCCCTTCTGATTTTATTTTCACACACAAACCGCTGTCTCACACCGCGAGCCCACGCGTCTGGCCCTCGGGTTACAGCGCTGTAATGGTGTGGCCTACCGTGCCGTGTCATGTGTCACCTCTTAGCATGTGATTGATGGGATGTGATGCGATATGGAGCTGATAGAATGGCTGCAGCGATAGGGTGTCCATCAGATCTCTGGCTGACTTTACTGGTATCTATTACGGATTACACTTTGGTAATGTTTCCCAAAGTAGAGCTTAAATCCTCTCAAACTCACGCTATCATCCTTCTACTCATTGCGCTTTGCAGCTCTGGCTTTTTCCACGAGGGTTAAACTACAAGGCAAAATGGTTAATGTTCACCTTGCCGTTGTGAATTCAGCTTTGTGTCTTTCTGAACTGCCAGATCAAAGAGAGCAGGGCTGCGAGAGAGACCGCTACTTTACAAAAGCTGGACCACAGCCACCCTTTAAATTTGAAGTGAAGGCTTAGGCTTAGGGTTTCTGTGAAGCCAGACATTCAATCAGCCAGAGAACTTGATGCACATGCACACACATTTATTCACTCACACACACTCTAACACACACACACACGGTAACAAAAGTGTCAGACATACATACAAGAACGCACACATACACGTCCACTGCAGAGTATGAAACAGATGAGCTTCACACACATACACACTCCTACCTGTCCAAACACCGAGTCCACTATGGGCAGCAGGTCGACGGGCTCCTCTTCCTTCTCCTTCTCTCTCCTCCGCGGTCCCTCCATCAACTCCTCCAGCTGTTCCTCCAGCGCTTCGCTGTCCTCACCCGCCTCTGCTGCCGTCATCGGGGGTAATTTGGATTTTTGATTGCGAGCAGCAGCTTGAGCGTCTCCGCCACCCCCGCCCTGGTCGTTGGTTCGCTTCTTTTGCTTCTCCACCTTCTTCTTGATGGCAGCCTGCACCTGTGGGAAGGCAGGGGTGGAGGAGAGTAGAACAGCGCACTCAAACTTATATCAATATAAAGCATGACCGATACTACTGAGACTGTAGATGAAATACAGCGCCACAGCGCTCACTGCCTGAAACGTGAGATGTTTAGTTTATAACATTTGCTCTAGGAAGATGTGACATGAACATACTTTGTAAGGAAGATGCCAAAATAAGAACAATACACAACTTGCAGAAGTCAAAATGTTATGAAATGCATGCATTATAAAAATCTTTTTAAAAAGATCATTTTTAACCTATTACATAGAAATCCTTTAACCCATTTACAGTAATCCAGTTTGTTTTAAAACTTTAATAAGTTGTCACATATGGGTAACATGTGTTTTCCACAAGAAATCAACAGTTCATCTTTTGTATCAATGACTCTTATCATTCTTTCGGCAAAACAAAACTTCAGCATGCACAATATAAAATGTGATATAGGCACACAGCATGTAAGGATGCACACACACACACACACACACACACACACACACACATACACAGACACAATTATATATATATATCTATATATATCTATATATCTGCACCCACTCACCTGTTTGGCGCTCCTCTCTGATGGCGCGCTCATCGCTCCAGCGGCTCCCCCGGGTGCCGGCTCTCGAATGATCATGAACATCTCGGTGTCACGGGCTAACACACACACTCTCTCTCTTCGTCGCTCGCCCTCCCCCTCCCTCACCCTCTCGCTTCCCTCTCCCCTGCTCTCCTCTCCTCTGCTCTAGCTCTTTATGTCTTAAGTGTAATAAAACTCCCCCTCCCACCACAAAAAAAAGTCAGCTTGGACCGATTTCTTTTCTTAAACTCTGAAAAATGTGTTAAAAATTCAGTCCCCTTCACGCAGTGATTGCAGCTGTCTCTTTGTCCCGGGAAACACAAAAGGAGTTAAAATGCTACGGCTCAAATGTTCTCCTGCTTCCTCCTTTCCTTCCAAGTATTTCCTCCAGTTCTTTTCCTCAGAGTTTCATCAAGCTTCTGTCCATCTCTCTCAGGTGAGGAGGTTTTTATCATCAGCTGCTGTCTTGGCTCCGGGATTGAGTTCCAGCACCTCTGCCCCCACTTGCTATCTCCAGATAATTTAGGTGACACTCTATACCTCCCGAACTTTAGCTCCCTCGCGTTTTCTACCTGTAGCGCGTTGACCTCTCTCTCTCCTTCTCTTCCTCCCCTTTTTCCACCTTTTCCCCTTCATCACAGGTAAACTTCCCTGCTCTCTGCCGGGTTCTCTACCTCAAACACAGGCTTTATAAAAACCTGCCTTTCCTTCCCTATAATTCCCGTAATCTCGTTATTCTCTCGTGTTTTCCTGGTCGTTTACACTCATCTTTTCCCATCTTATCTCAATTTTTTTCCCAGAATCCTTCTTCCCTCCATCTTTTTCTCTTTCTTATCACCATCATTTCCCCCTGACAATAATCCTCATCGCTCCCTGTGCTTCTCCTTCTCGTCTCTTTCTCCCAATCTATCTGCCCTCAATCCCCTTGTCACATTTGAAGCCTTTGTTGTAAAACAAATTGGATGTTTTTCTGCAGTGCCCAGGTCAGCTATTCATTTAGAAACAGTGAGAGATAGAAAGAGATGAAGAGTTGCAAAAAAACAAACAAAAAAAAAACCAACCTCAGCAGCCATACGATGATGAAAGGCTTTCAGTGAGCAATAACACATCACCTCAGGGAAACCTGCACGCATAATCTCATCCACCAAGCATGGCTGAGCCCACACACATGCATGCACAGGTGAACATGTAACCACTGACCCCTATTTTTAGACACGAATGTTCTCATAAGCATGTAATGTTGTGCTTTTCAGCTCGCTAGAAACAACTCCATAGCCTTTTGGTGTTCTAAAGCAACTAATTCCACTAAAAGCATCATCTTTCTATAAATAAAACCCATCAATCAACCCCGTCCATTTCACTAGCAGCTTTGAGCTGATGATGCATCTCACTTCCCCCCCCCTCATTTTGTTCCTAACTGCCTCCCCTGAAAGCTCCCTCCATCGCCGCTCTGCCCCTCGCATCTCCAGTTAACCTCCGATAGTGTGCGTTCTCCAGACGCGCTGATAATGTATAGCTTCACTTCTCTCCAGTTCCTAATGAGGTTTCCATTAATCATCTTAACCCTGTCTTTCGGCTGTCTTTCTTTAGCCCCTCTCCTCATTGATTATTGATAAGATGGAGAGACAAATTCTTGAGTGGAGGCAGAAAAGAGATCCATTACAGAAAAGCCAAGTTACACGACTGAGGGTTAAAAATAGCGGCTCATATTTTGGGAACAGACCCGTCATCTGATCGAGGAAAGATGAAGAATGAATGGACGAGATGGAAAGAGAAATTAGAGGTTAGGGAAAAAAATGTGTGCGTGTGTGTCTGTTCATTTTCTTTCATCTCAGGCTTATCTGACCTTAAAGAAACTCAAAGATGTGATGAATGGCAGTGGGAGGGCCAGCTGAGCAGTAATGTAGAAGTGAAGGCTTGTGTTACTGCGTGTCGATCAGCCTGTAATAATATCTAATTACAGATCAGAACAGTTAGAGAAGAGAAGAGTTCGACTGAAGGCTGTACGGTCAGTCCCGCAGTCTGTGAGTAATGTATGCAGATGACACACAGAGATTAAACAGGCAGAACAGGTACGTTTTATTCAGGTCAGACTAATTCTCATTAGTCTCACAGATTACCGAATTGCTCAACTGGCAGGAGAGGACTCATTAACCTTGCTTAACTGCAGAGTGAAAGAAGAACACAGAGCGTATCTGTGACCAAACTCAACCACGGGTAGGATACAGGTAATCAACTGATTAACACAATGTTGTGACTCAAATGTTCAGCTTTTGTTGAGCTTGTGTCAAAAATGACGTTTGTTTCCACTGGTTGAGGGTTGTTGTGTTATATTGTGATACATGTTAAATGAAATCTCTCTGACGCATCATCAGCAACAAAGAAATAATCACAATAAAGTCCACAAAGGTTTTTATACCAGAAACTATTGACTGTCTTTTTATTCATTCACTTTTATTTCATTTAGCTTTCTTCTCCAGTGAGTTTTCATCCTTGCTTTAATGTTTTGAAGTTTCAGTGTTCGTGTTTTATCATAATGTAATACTGAAGAATGTAACACTGTGTAAAAGCTTGAATCACTGTCCTTAAACACATTGAGAAAATTGGGCCAAAAAACCATCTACAGCAGATGAACTGTAGATGCAGATGACACAGGACCAGAGAGATGCTTCTGGACCTTCAAATGATTGTTAGCAATATGTACGGAGGAGATCAGGAGAGCAGGGTAACAGTAAATATCTATAGCAGACGTGAACACTTCATTTTACCAAGTGGGTCACATGAGAAACTGTACTTTTGCACTGGTGCAGCCCTCCACAACAGTCCCAGTTTCTCATGGTGCCCCTTGGTCAAATTAATTGTCGTCCTGGTTTACAGCCACCCATAAAGCACATCGTTGGCTCTGTCATGGTTTTCAGGTTTCAGAGATCTTGTGAAAATTGATGGAACGATAAACATGGAAAAGTCAGAAGACGTCAGATTTTGTTCGACCATGCAGTCCCATCTTGACCTGCATATAACTGAAGCAGTGTGGGATCATCCCAACAGAGAACAACACAAAAATCCAGTCAACATCCGAAGAAGAGCTCTGAATGTCCTTCACGAAGCCTGGAGAACTATTCCTGAATACTACTTTGAATACTAAGAAATTACAACAAGGCTGGCCTACTACAGTTCAGGCTGTGTTAGAAAATAAAGATTTTTATGACATAAGTTGACTTTCAATCTTGTTAGAACTGTATAAACTTGGTTTTTCCTTCTTCTTCATTAAATTCCCAAATTCCTAGAAAAGTATAAACAATCAAGGGGTGGCTCAATACTTTTGCACAGCACTGTATTTCAGTGGCAGCGTTTAAAGTTACACATTATAACACATCACTTCTTAAAAGCAACGGACTCACATTCATACCGGCACCTTCAGATGACAACCATCTTTCCTATACAGTCTGTGGATAGTTCTTGATATTTAAGTTTATGTTTTACCACTTGCAGCATATTTCTGATTTGTCTGAGCTGATCATTTTTAAAATCTTCATCTAACAGCTTCCAGTGGGTCGCATTTTCATGAGGGTGGCATTCATATGTTGCACAAAAATGCTTTAAAGTTGCTTCATTCGAAGTTAGCTTTGGCTGCCCTCTGCTGGTACTACATGTGCAATCAAAGTTAATTATACCCTAAAACTCTCATGTCAGCTATCTAGACCAGGGGTCAGCAACCTTTAACACCGAAAGAGCCATTTGGACCTGGTTTCCACGCAAAAGAAAACACTGGGAGCCGCAAATACTTTTTGACATCTAAAATGAAGATAACACTGTATATATTGTTTTTTTTTACCTTTATGCCTTGTTTGAACAACTAAGGTGTGTTGCTTATGAAATCCTTGAAGTGCTACAGAGAAAATTACATTTTATTTATGTAATTAACACATTTTGAACTCTTAAAGAAATATAACAAAAGGAAAGACGCCCAGCTGAACTAAAATGATCCATGTAGCAAACAAAAACTGTTATATCGCCTTTGGGCTTTTGGAGCCTTGACCTGACTTTTAAAAAATAATTGGAAAAAAAGCAGTATGCTGCTAAAAAAATGAAAAATAGATATTTGCAAAATTCTGCCTAAATATGTATTTTACCTGGTTAATGTGTGTAGCGGGGTGTGGTCTGCAGCGCCGCAGCAGGGGAGGCGGACGCACCTGAGCGGACCCGCAATCACGCCTCGCCGCCTTTACGTCTGTACTGTTGTGTTGGTATGCGCAAGGCTGTGAGCTGAAAAGCTACAGCCTGCTGTATGTGTCAGCAACCGTGTGTGAAAAGTGGTCAATAAAGACATGCTGAAAAGCATGTTCATGCAAACATCGTCGGGTCTGCCGTGATATGTTTACAATTGGACTTCTGCTCCTGAACCTCTGCGCACAGCATCTGCAAATCGGGGCTGTACGAAGTCACTTTCATCTTTACGCAGGACTGTAAGCTGTCATCTGTGAGGCGTGAGCGGCGTTTGTTTTTAACATAGCACACGGTGGAGAATAGCTGCTGACATCATGTGGATCCGAAGATCCATAATTGGCCTACCTGGGGTTGAAAGTCTCGATAGATGCACGGCGTTTCGGCGGGTATACCGGCTTCCACGAGTGTGACGCTTATTTTGAGCGATGAAAAAAATAATAGAATATAATTTTATTTTTATATTTCAATATCACAATAATCTTCCAATTTAGAACTACAAGTTAAAAAAAAGAACTAACATAAATAAAATACACTTCAGCTAAATACTTCTAATTTATTTTCCAAAACCACGCGGAGCCGCAGGACTAAAGAGTCGCATGCGGCTCCGGAGCCGCAGGTTGCCGACCCCTGATCTAGACATTGGTGACTATCACTTCACATTACATTTGCTTTACAACATTAAACTCCGAGGATACAAACAGACGATTAGTAAACTACATTTCAGATTAGTGTTAGACAAATATGAAGGTGGTGGACGAATCATACTGCAGAACTCATACTGTCATAACATACTACACCCATTATGTTTTC